GGCTTCTCCCGCAGTTACCAAGGGGCCCTTTGAGAAGCCCGAGGGCAGGTGCAGACGGGATGCCAGGAATCATCTGAGTCTTTGTTATATTTCCTACCCGAAATACCCCTCAATAAAAACACTGCAGCAATCGACAGTAGTAGTAATCGTAGCTTTTTGGGAGTTGGAGCCTTTTGGCCCATTGCTGTAGAATACGATAGACAGATGAACCAATAGCAGACAGAACCCACCCCCCCGTCGTCTTCCCTACGCTCTGTTTTCTCCATGCTACAGCTGTGTGTCCGGTGCGGGCTGAGCGTGATGGACCCCACCTTTCTTGGGCCTTGGCTCTTTCCCACAGGAGGAGGAAGGCGGTCAGACCCGAGGTCATGCATGTCCGTGACTCCCACCGTGCAGAGCCCAGAGTGATCCTTGGAGCAGAACGCAGGTGGCACGATCCCAATCTGCAACTGCAGAGTGATTCTATTCCTGCAGGTGCATGCACCAGGGTGGGGGGGATGTACACTCCTGTATACACACCGGTGCACTTGGCAAAGGCTGTGATGCAATATGTACTTATTGCTGCATGGTTCTAACGATGAATAAACCTGTTTACATGGGAGGTGCAGCCACTAGCTGGAATTGTGGGTTGTGTTTGCACAGGGAAGGGGTCCATTGCCTTTACAGTTTTCTGGTCCATTTTTACCTTTTCTAAGGTGCTGGGCCTGGGCTCAGCCAGTGCTACTGCTGCTTCCTCTGTGCAAAGAGCTCTTATCCCTTTAGGCTCTTGAAATGTGCTGAACAGCTGCAAGTTCCACTGAAGCCAATGGGGGCTGCAGGTGTTTGGAATCTGGCCCTTAAGAAACAGCTTCCATGTTGCATTTCTGTGGCAGAATTTCCCCTTGGCCTGAGTGACTGGCTAAGGGGGGAGGGGAGGGGATCCCCAATCTCTCCAAAGGCTAAAGATTCTGCCTGACAGGGGCACCCCAAAGCACACAAATTGTAACTTGTAGTGCTGGGCAGCGTGTCCCATCGGTGCAGGTTAAGGCCAAAGCTGACCAGCTGCAGGGTAATATGGTAAACTCAGTTTCTGTTGCTCTCTCAGGAAAGATCCCAGTATGGGAACTATGGTTTTGGGTTTGAATTTTAAAAATCAAGTGGATCTCTAGGTGGATTGAGGGCTCCTGGCAAGCTGCCATGGTGGCCCTCTCTCACCTGGTCAGTTTCTGCCCTGCCCCATGCTCTCCAGCTTTTGCATCAGGCTCTAGGGCAGATTTCCTGTTCTCACCAGTGAGACAACACTTCAGCCTCCTTGGTGGAGACTCACTGGAGCCCAGTCTGAGCAGCCATACCAGAGCTGGGTGCTGGCTGGAAATCAAGAGTCTTATCATTGAGCAGATGGTAAAGACCAGGTTGTACCATAAACAAGGTGACCTAGTCAGGGGTTTTCCACTTTATCTGCTCTAGGACTCTCAGGTCTCCTGCCTCCCACTGCTAGTGTGTGTCCCAGAGAGACTGGGGAGGGGTTACCAGGCCAGATTCCTTGGCTGCAGCATTCTCTCTAGGCAGTGCATGGAGCAGGTTTAGCAGCCATTGTTTATTCTGCTCTGCCAGTCAGAATTGAAGTGACACATAGTAATTACAGTATAAGGGGAGGGTAGGAGGGTCTGGGTCATATTAGCTGGTTAGATAATTGAATCATATTCCACCCTTGTTTACACCAGTGAAGTAATTCCACTTCAATTGGTGGAGTAACTCCAGATTTGCCCTGGTGGAACTGAGAGCATCATATGGCCCACTGGATAATGAAGCTTTTTGTGGCTGGGAGGAAAAGACAGTCCATTCAGGGGAACCTGAGGGTTTCTGCTTCCCAGCATCCCTGCATTATACGCTAGCACCAGGGTAAGTGGAAGGATAACAGTGAACGTTATATGCCAACCTAGGATGGCTACATTACACGCTTACCAAGGTTTTTCTCTCTCCTGGCTTAAAAGGGGACATAAAGAACTCTTGGGGCCTGTTTCACCAGGGGCATGGAGAGCGGGAGTCCTGGTGCATTGCAGGGGCAGTTCTCCTGGACTGGGAAGGAATGAAGGGGTCTTTGCTCTTTGCCTTTTCTGACAACCAAGTTCTGGAAGAGAGTGTCTATTACATTTAACAGAGACCTTTAAACCAGCTGAGGCCTGTCTGAGCCATGCAGGGAGCTGCAGAACAGCAGCGAAGGAACAGGGAAATGGAGCTCCACCTAAGATACTCACATGAAGTGACTGCTTAAGCTGGTAGTATAGGGTGATTCCTGACTTCACCTTTAGCTTACTGCTATAAACTGAATGTGTGAATGAATCTGGGTGACCAGGTGGGCTGACGTATTGTAGCAACCTTCCCCCATGAGAGACGTGGGTTCACATTCAGTTTGGCAGCATTATAGTAATTCCTACTGGGGAACTCTGTCTACCTGATGGGCATTTGGTGCTCAGGAGAAGCCAGCTGAGATCCTTTGGAAGAGCCATTTGGGTAATCAGCATTACCCAGCAGGGTGGTTTGCAGGCAAGTGTCGGGCAGGCTGGCAGAGCTTTCCAGGGGAAGCTTACATGACCCCTTGCCACAAGTGAAGAGACACTCATCCCAGCCATTTCTAGTGGAGTGGTTCTCCAGCTGTGGGCCATGACCCACTGGTGACAGGGGGAGTCCTCCTTGGTGGGTCAAAGAACAAAACATTTTGAGCTGTCAGCAGTGGGCGACTGAGAGGTTTGGAGGAGACCTGGATTCCTGGGGGGGACTCTAACTCTTAGAGTACTTAACAAATAGGGAAAGTTGAAGAGCTAAGGCTAGCGAGGAGGTTCAACTCCTTGGGATGCACAGCACTGTCTTGATAGTGCTTGTGTCTCCAGGAGCAAGGTCCTAGTGCTACCAGCCATTCACAGATGTACTTGCTGGTGCTCTTCGCTCACTGCTCAGCCTAATTAACCTAGATCTTCATCTGTCATGAATTTGAGAAGAAAGGAAACCAGTTCCAAATCTTGCTTCAAGCATGTTCTTGGTGGTTAAAAGTATGTTTAATGAAAGGTTATCGGGCATCTGTTAAGGGCCAAAAATCTTCTCTCCGTGACACTGAAGGAAATTCAGAATAACTTTACTGACTTCAGCTGAGTTCTCCAGATTTACGGGGTGCAGTTGAAAGCAGGCTTGGGCCCTTGTATCTCAGCCAGGTCGCCAGCCAGACAAAACCTGCATGAGCCAATTTTTCAAGCACCATTCTGTGTGTGGGCAAAGACGTTTGGCATTCTAAAGAGACATGCAGCATGAGGGAGCATGAATGGGGATGTTTTGCTCACCCTTTTCTTAGCTGTGACGATCAGAAAGCTCAGATAAGGAAGAAGCTCCTTTCCCTGTAAGCTCTGAATGGTTTCTCTTCCTAGCGATGAAATGGATCTAGAGGTTTTGGTTGGAGCATCTGGTACAATGCTGTTCAGCAAGGCAGAATGCAGCTGATCCATGATGACTCAGGTGCCGGGTCTACCTGCAGGTCGGGGTCACTGACAGAATGTAGTGATCGCTTACAATCAGCAGGTGGCATGCATTAGTCGGAACCATGGCCGAGGATTAGTCAGAGGATGAACGGCCCCGCATTCTTGCACAAGGGGTCGAAATTATTCTACATTATTCACTTCTCCCTGACCCAGAGGAGAGAGGGGACGCAAAAAAAAGGAGCTTTATAAAGGGCGGGGGAAGAGCAAAAAAGAGGTTGAGAGCCCACAACGAAGGCTGTGATCAACTCCAAGTAAAGTATGACTGATGAAAGAAAACGAATGGAATGATTCTGTGCGCGTAGGACAGGGGGAGTTTGATGCTGATGAGTAATTACTAAACCATACTTTGCATGTCTATAGCACCTGCCATCGATGGATTGCAAAGCCCTGTAAAGGAACTGATGGATGTTACTTAGATTGTAAGCTCTTTGGGGCAGTGGCCCCAACCCGGGGTGTGTGTTTGTACAGCGCCTAGCACAACGGGGCCCTGGTCCATAACTGGATGCCTAGAGATTACTGCAATACAAATAAATAATGATCATCCCAATATCCCTTTGAAGTAGGTCTGTATTATTATCCCACTCGTGGGGAAACTGAGGCACCGAGTGAGTAAGTGACTTGCTCATTGGTCACCCAGAAAACCTGTGGTAGATGAAAGCTAGAGACTGGATCCCTTCGAGTCCCAGTCTTGCCCTGTTGCTTG